ACACAGACTTTCAGAGATCAACCAGAGCTGAAGAAAAGAGAGAGAGAGAAAAGGGGAGAGAGACAGAGACTCAAAGAATTTGGATGAAGAGACCACAGACTGGTGAAACTAGGATGAAGTGGGGGAAAAATAGAAAATATACAAAAATGTGATGATAATGTGAGGTTGTTTAGGAAGACAGCTGAGAGTAGAGATGGTGAGAAAAGAGTGGGTTGAAAGTTGATAAGAAATAGAGAAAGATACTGAAGAGAGCAAAACAGATTGGAATTGAAGATGGAAGTGGTTCAAGTAGTCCTTGCCTTACCACCATAATGGAGCCTGTACATTGTGGTCATAAAGTGGGCCATAAGTGGATGTGATTGATCCAATTTTATGGACCACTTGTAGTATTGATGGGAAGAAAGGCACTTGGCACAATTCTGAACCTGATAGGCTGGCAGATAAAGTAAGCAATGGCTATAATAGAGTTGTCAGGTCAGGATTGCCGTGGCTGATAAAGATTAACGGTTGCGGTAAAGTCACCTGTGATCACTGGTGATTAGAAGGTGCATTTTGTTATTACAGAGGTATGATCCAAGTTTGGATGAGAGATAGGGAAGAATAGTAGGCAGGCCCCCTTGAAATAGAGAATAAAACTGCCCTGAAGTTGAATAATGGGTCAGTCGGATGGCGTTCCAAATAGGTGTGGGAAAGGATCAACATGATAGTTGTGAATGTGGGGGAAGTTCACAGGCTAGCAAGAGTGGCTTAGGTTTCATATGTCTAAGGAGATGCTCAGTCATCCAGGTAATGGTTATCCCAAAGGTGCTTTTTCAAAAGGCAACTGGACTTTCTTTGTTTTTCCTTGAAGACGTTTCGCTTCTCATCCAAGAAGTTTCTTCAGAACTAAAGAAGCTTCTTGGTTGAGAAACGAAACGTCTTCAAGAAAAAAACAAAGAAAGTCCAGTTGCCTTTTGAAAAAGCACCTTCGGGACTTTGGTTTCATAGCTGGAAGTTGGGATACAATAACAGGAGTTGAAAAGGATTTCATAGTCATAGGGAAAATTATGCAGAGATGTGGATGTACACACAGGTAGTTTTTGAGCGGTTTAGAAATGTGAAATCTAAATAAATAAATAGTTCTCAACTGTCACTTAATGACAGTTCAAAGTTAGAACAGACTCGGGAAAAGTTACTTATGATCTGGAAAAAAGAAGCTTCCACGCCAAAGCTCCGGCTTCTTTCCAGCCTTACTTGCCTTCAGAAACACGGTGTTTGCTAGCTCTTTAGCCAGTAAGCTAGTGAATCTGATGTTTCTGTGACAAGCCAGAGAAAAGAAGATCCTGAAGATTCCTGAAGATTGAGCACCCAGAGGGGAAGGGAACCACCGAGTGGCCCAAGAAAGGAAGCTTGGATCTCAAAGGTCCAAGTTTCCTTTCTCCCGCCCAGTGCAGCAGCTCCCTTCTGCACACAGATGGGAGAAGAAGTCCTGCAGTGGGCCGGAGAAACAAAGCTCAAATCTTTGGTATCTGAGCTTCGTTTCTCTAGCTCAGCACAGGAGTTCCCGTCCACACATGAAAAGGAGTTGCCTACACCCTCTTTAGGGTTAATGACCCAAACGGTCCCTTAAAACCACAATTGGGAGAGCTGGGATTGTTGTTGCTAAGCAAACTGATCAAGTGAGCATCTAGCTTAACTATTGCAAAATCTTACAAATTCTGGGCCCAACTGTGGTTGTAAGTCAAGTGCTAGTTGTACTGCAGTCATGAAGGGCCAGGGGAATTATGGCAGGAAAATTATGGAGGCTCTGTGTTAGCCATTTCAGAGGAAGGGGATCTGTTAATCTGATGCCAGTCCAATTTTCCAGTCCTCCATCTTCAGTCCTGGATTTAGGCAGACATGTTGCTAGTGATCTCATTTGGTTGTGAATGAGCATAAAGACTTGTGTGTGTTAGTGAAGCACAGTTAAGGACAGGGATGAAATTTGCTCTCCTAAGCTTTGGGTTCTTTAGCAGCTGTGAGACCAAAGCCAGGGGAGGGGAATAATCAGAGGCCTTGTTCTGGCTGTGAATGGAGGTTTTGCTCTATCTGTCTGTTTATTATTGCAACTGTACTTTTTTTTTTCATTAAAATAGCCAAAACTCTCTGGACAGTTTACAATAAAACACACAAAAATATAACCCAAAAACACAGTATGATAATACCAAAATACAAAATAAAAACATCATATAAACTAAAAGTCTAGTACTGAAAAGCCAGTTAAAATCCTGGGAAAATAAAATGGTCTTCACCTAACACTGAAAGGATGAAATTGTGGCTGTCAGTTGAGCCTCTTTGGGGCAGAAATTCTATAAATGGAGTGCCACCATGGGTTGGGGGGGGAACCCTCCCCTTTATAGAACCTCACTTCATTTCCTTTCGTCAGAGATCCTGGAAAAGATACTTATTACCGGTAGATGATACAGCTTGGATGGAGGGATAAGGGTCCTTTAGGGTTCCGAAGACACATAGGGCTCTAAAGGTTAAAATTAACATTTTGAATTGCTTTGTGGATGAGGATAAATATTGTGGAGAAAGTCTATGTGTTAAGAGTTGGCACTGAGGCGATAGGACTTAATCAAGCGAGAACCCAGATAATGTAAAGGAAAATAAAAGAGTGCTGACTAAATCTGACAATATGTTACCAATTTTTTTTCATTCTCTTTTTTATCTCAGGGGTTGTACTTGGTCTATCATCCTGTCCAGCTTACTACGAGTTATGTAGTTGGAATTCTTCTACTGGGTTTGGTGGGCTACTATATTTTCAGAATGACCAATCATCAGAAAGATCTCTTCCGTCGCACTGATGGCAACTGTAAAATATGGGGCAAGAAACCCAAATATATTGAATGTGCCTACACATCAGCCGATGGAACTAAACACTACAGTAAATTGTTGATTTCAGGATTCTGGGGTATGGCCCGCCATTTTAATTATACTGGAGACTTGATGGGCTCCCTGGCATACTGCCTGTGTTGTGGTTTTAATCATATTCTTCCTTATTTCTACATAATTTTTATGACTATTCTCCTGGTCCACCGCTGCATTAGAGATGAACATCGATGTTCCCACAAGTATGGCAAAGACTGGAAAAGATATACTGATGCAGTACCATACCGACTCATTCCAGGGATTTTCTAAATGTTTATTTTAGACTTAAAATATTTTGCAAAAAAAAGTTTTGGTACATTTATCAGCAGTATTTTTGGCACATATAATGGTGCATGATTTGCTTCTTAATATGTTAAAAATAACATATTTAACATAAAATAAAATGCACATTATAAAAACTTTTAAAAGTTATTTCTGTGTTGTTGTTTTTAAAGTTTCTTTTTATACTGATTTATTTTGCCTCCTCCCTGCCCCAAACCCAAAAGAAACCTTGCAGTAATTCATATTTCAGTTTTACTATTCTAGCTAAAGGGAAATTGTGATCTATAACTGACCAGAAAGTTATTTATATTGCCATGTGATGATTCTCCAATTATTGAACTTGCATTGAAATTTCTGGAGTCTTCAATACCCTCTAAATCCATATATTTCCATTTTGAAAATGATGACTGGGTAAACTGACAAGATTTTTGAGTAGTGACAAACAGTTCAATGAAAGTTTTAACACAGTGTGCATCCAATGTAAAATAGGCCAATAGCATGTTAGGGAGAATAAGTCATGGTATCGAAAACAGAGATGCCAATCTCATAATGCCCTTTTATAAATCAATGATGCAACCCTCTGGAATATTTTGTACAGTTCTGGTCACTGCACCTCATTACAGTGGAGCTAGAAAAGGTTCAGCAGAGGGCAACTAAACTAATAAGGGACTAGAATAGCTTCCCTGTGCGTGCACAATTATGCATGATGGCAATAAAGTAAGGAGCAGCAGCTATTTACTCCATCCCATAATACTAGAACCCAATGAAAACTGAGTTCTGGTAGCATCAAGACAGATAAAGGAAAATATTTCTTTACACAATGGATAATTAAACTTTGGAATTGCTACATGTGGTGCTACCTATCAGCTTGGCCTGTGAAAACCATCTGCCAAGAAGCTAGTGGTTTTGTTTACAGTTGAAAACAGACCATTGGACTAAACCAGGGGTAGGCAATCTTGAAGAGCCAAGGTTGCCTACCCCTGGACTAGACAGAAGGGTACTGCTTATGTTCTTAAAAGGTCTGAATAAGTTCTTTGATTAATTGTGATAAAATCGTAAGGGTAAGAATGATGGGCTAAAATAATGATCTTGGACATTACTATCCATTGCATTTGTGCAGATTCATGTCTGCCTTGTTTATAGGGATTTCAATATGTCAGATGACTTTTGTTTGACCAGCATGGTATGTTTAAAAAGACAGTATGTCAAGATTTAAAAAATCCATGTCTCTATCAATCAATCAATCGCTTAACCATGTGTACAAAACTGCAACATTGCTGAAGTATGTTTACCAAAATGAAAACTTCATTTCTCAAGGTTTATTACAAAAGCTAGATTCTGCTGGCTGGTTTAAAAGTAAAGCAGAGTGCTTCCTGTTAGACATGCATATACATACTCAAAGAATTATAGATGATGATGATTTAGTAGATTTAAAATAGCTGCCCACTCAAGTAGATGGCTTAACAAAGTATTCAAACAATTTAAAATATATTGGTTGATAGGTTTTATACAGGCAGTCCTTGAGTTGTGACTATAATGAAGCCTGCCCATTATGGTCAGAAGCCAAGATGGCCATTAAATTAACCATTTCACCTAACAACCTTCCCCCAATCCCTGCTCAAACTTATGCAATTAATAAATGAACACACAGGTCTTTAAGTGGAGTATGGGGTACTTCGGGTGGGACAGATGCTGGAGGCCTACTGCAGGCACAAGCCCATTTGGTCTTGGGTCTCTCTGAGATACCCCATGCTATGTTCCACATCCCTTGGGATCCCCATATCTGCTTGGGCCTCCTTCCCACCCATCCATCACAATTACACATTTACCTTTCTAAGATCTCCAGAGCTCAGGAGGTCAGAAAAGGAGGACAGATACTCCAGAACCAGGCATCATCATCAACCAGGCCACAGTTCATTATGGCCATTCCCAAAATGATGCCTGCTTTCCAGATGGCGCCATGCACCCTCTGTGTAGGGAAGCTGCACAGCTGTTTCCCAAAGAAGATCTATGGAAAAAAAAATAAGTAAATGTGGTGTGATGGTGATGGGGTGGAAGGGTTTGGGACTCAGTGGGGTGGGAAGCTGGCCCAAGGCCTGCAGGGACCCAGTAAAACAGGATGGGGAGAGAACATAGGAACTGCATTAAATTGTTGCATTGCGTCAAATTTTATTTACTAAATTTATATGGCGCCCATCTCACTGTCAAGTGACTTGGGGTAGCTTTCACCATTAATATGAAGAAATAAATATAACCATTATGCATCTGGGTTACCTTAGATTGCACAAGTCCAGAATGGTATTGTATGCTTTCTACATCAATTGCCCCTAAACAGCGACTGGCTTGATATCCAAAAGCTAAATCCTTTTCCTTGGAACTTGGTAATTCCTTGTCTATCAGGAATCAAAGTCTCACAGTAGCTAACTGCACTAGGCATATAATGCTATGTTTTTATGCTGAATGCCACTCTCCTAGTTATAGATGACAGTGAACAGAATTTATATTAAATTCAAACAAAAGGTGCATAGTCACTAATAAAGACAGTCCTCAATCACTTATCAACCATTTGAACTTACAACATATGTCCTAAAAGGTACTTATGACCCAGTTTCAAAGTTAAGACTGCTACAGTGCCCCCACGGTCATGCACTCTTAGCCCGACTGCAGAGAGTCTGTTGTGGGCCCGCCCCATTCACCCCCTTTCTGCCCCACCATGCCCCCCACCCGGCATTGTGCCCGCATTGCCACCCCACATGATCCTCCCCATCTTAGTCAATTGCTTACTTTACCTTTCAAAGATCTCTAGAATTCAGTGGGGAGGGGATGACAGGCTGCTCTGTTGCTGAGCCACATGGCACAATCCCACAAGTAGCCATCTTTTTCTGAATGCAGCCACAAACTCAGCGATCCATGCAGCCTAGCAACAAAGCAATTTGTGACTCTGTAGTGTCATCGTGGAAACACTGGCTTGGAAAGTGGGATTCAAGCAATGGAAACCTTTGCTTTGTTTTGCAAAGAAAAGTGTGGTCTCTTTAAGCAGACAGATCCAATTTGCTCCACCAGCATTAGTGAACGCTTTGCTCAGCTAACACCAATAGAACGAAACAGAAAGGCTGCCTGCCCATAGTGCACTACGCTAGAAAAAAACTTTCAGAAAGATTGCATTGAATGGCTTTTAAAATAGCAATTCTAAAAGCTAGAAAGGCTAGTCCACAGTGGGGAGGGGAGTCGATTGTCTTTTTTCACTGCTACAAGCTTCTGTGCTAAAAAATATAGGTTGCCCTTTTTTTTCTTTTGGAATCGATTAAAAACATTCCAGCATCTGGCATATCAGGAGAGAAACAGAGAGACTTAATGTAATAGCGCTCTCTGTTGAGCAAGAGAAGCATTGCAGTTTCTTTTCACATGGAATTTTGCTGTCATTTCCCAAAATAAAATAACAAAAAGGAATAAAAAGAAAATGAAGTTTTTTAAAAAAGTGACAAATCCACTTTGAAAGGGCAGCCATCAAGCTACCTGAAGTTGCTCATCCCTGGCTTATTCTGTTGTGTGAACTAAATAAGTTGAAGTATTCAGTTTTTATTAATATCCTGAAGTGTAAATGTAATTGTGATTTCCTTTCAAAACGTTTGTGCTTTTAGATAACCACTGAAAAAAATCAAAAATTACAGTCTCTTCAGTAATCTGGTTCATGTATAGGCTAAACTATGTTGTTAAGCTTGTTTGTACTAGGCATAGTGCCATTCATTAAGCTACCTGCTATACTTTAAGATTTGCTCAAACCAGGCCACTTCAATAAGCCATAGTTAAATATACCCAAATTATATGTTATAAGTAAACTGAACAGTGAGACAGATTCCGCATATATGTTTAATACTTGAAATGCTATGCAGCACTTTGAATTCAATCAACAAGAGGTACTTCAGAATGCATGGCGGTATACAGCTACATAACATAAAGAAGCATGCCCTGTCCCAGCAGATTTGTGCAGTCCTAGAAGAAGACAGAATTGTTAGGACTTGGAACAAGAAACTACATTTGGCAAACTATCAGTGCGAAGAAGAGGTTGGAGCCAGATGATACATTTATGTTCCAATGTACGCCACTTTCCAGCGATAAGTTTCAAACCATTGCACTTAAGTACTTATTTGTACTTAATGGATAAGATCATGACTAGGTGAACTGCATACTTATTCAGTTGGTTGACCAAGATACTACTCTTGTTGGGCAAATTCCAGCTGCCTGCTCTTCCCTTCAACTCAGGAAAGAGTAAGCACAGCAAGGATTAAATACATCTCTACTCAATATTAGTAGTAATTCAACAGTGATCCCAGTGAAATGAATCTCAAACTGATATCAACTCCATAACTGCCTTTCCTTCTCTGATGAATCTGGTGTCTTATAAAAAGCAAAACTGTTCTCAGGTCCTTATCAGCTAAAGAAAGTACAGTCAGAAAAGTTTATTACTCTCCTGAGCATGAAAAAGCTTTTGAAAAATTAAAAACTGCTTTGGGTAGTCAACCTGGGTTCCAAGATCTAGAGCTTAACTTTGTTGTTGGAAATATCAATACTTCTGATGTGGAGTTAGGGGAAGTGTTATAATGTAAACGTTAGATGATTCATTTATTTAAAATACCACCCATCTTTGAATTAACCCTAGCCAGTTCCCAAAGACCATAAAAATAAATAAAATCTCAATAAAATTTTAAAAAATCAAACTGATTAGAACTTTAAAATATTAAAAAGAACAAAAACCTGGCACCAAATCAAACTTCTAAAGTTCAGATTATCTCCCAGCATTTGGGAGGAAAGCTGGGTCTTCAAAGCCTTATGGAAGGCTAGGAGGGGAGAGGCCTGCCAAACCTAGGGGGGGGGGAGAGAGTTTCATAGGCTAGGGGCTTCCATCAGATGGCAATATTTAAGGAAATTAATTAGGAGTGTGCCTACCCTATCTGACCTAGTAGGACAGTTAGATTTCCTTAGAGTGACGATGGCATCTTATTTTGCATCAAAACAGCATACAGCACTTTGCAAGCCTAAACAGCAAACCCACGTTCTTCATTGGGATCCCAAATAAATACCATCAGGCTATATAGCACATAAGGAATATAAAACTGCACCCTTCTCTCAATGTCTCAAAATTATGAATATCCCTTTCAGCTCAATGACCTTTGAGTCCTCGACTTCTGACCACAAATGAGCTCAAAATTTCTGTTTTAAGTGAGACATTTGTTAAGCAAGTTTTGCTCTGTTTTACGACCGTTCTTGCCACATTTGTTAAGTGAATCATCACAGTTGATAAGTTAGCAACCCAGTTGTTAAGTGAATCTGGCTTCCCCATTAATTTTGCTGGTCCAGAAGGTCACAGGTCATCACATGACCTTGGGACAGAGCAACCGATCATAAGTATGAACTAATTATCAAGCATATGAATTTTGATCACGTGACCATGGGGGATACTGCAAAGGCCGTAAGTGTGAAAAATGGTCCTAAGTCACTTTTTCGAGTGCTATTGTAACTTTGAATGGTCACTAAATGAACTGTTGTAAGTCAAGGATTATTCTTTCAGTCAGAGAAGAGGACTCTTTGGCTTTAGCCACAAGTTCTCAGGGGGCCATTTAAGCCCTTCCTTCCTTTTTATTGCTATTTTAAAAAAGGGTTCATTACAGTTGCCAATTTCCTTCCAGCTCTGAGGTAAGCTGGGTATTACACTGCAATTTTAATCCTCGGCAACATTTATCTGAAGCTCTCAAAATGATTCCACTGAAAGAGGGGTGGGGAGAAGGGCTGTCGCTCTGCCACCGACTGCAAGCCACCTCCAGGCCGCAAGGGGCCTGGTTCAGAGTCCCGGTTCCAAGTGGGCGTGACTGGAGCTCCTCCTTTTCTCTTTTGAGGGGGCCGTCCGAGGGTGTGTTTCTGGCTGTAACCAGGAAGTTAGAGCAGGAAACTCCTGGGACCACCAGGCGAGCGGTGACTGCACTGCTGACCATGGAGGGCACCGGCTGTGAGGTAAGCAGCAAATGGCGGGAAAACGAGATGAAGGAGAGCCCAAGAGGAGGCCTAGAACAGGGTTTTTCAACTGGTGGTACACATACCACCAGTGGTACGCGAGCACTTGTCTGGTGGTATGCATAGGAAGGGTTGAAAAAAAATGAAAAAAAGTAAAAAAAACTGTAAAAAAACTGTAAAAAATGTAAAAGTGGATGAGGTGAAGTGGCAACAGCGCCACACAGGCTTGTGGCAAAGTCAGCTGGAACTGCACGTTGCCTGGGTCCTACTGAGAGCCCAGAATCAATGCGCGCAGCTGAAGCGTCCTTGGGAGTGGCAGGCAGCCTCAAGCAGTCTTCAGTGAAGATTCCGCTGGAGCTATGTGACGCATTGCCTGAGTACCCCCCGCCTCCACCCAGATGCCCTCACCTCCCCCAAGCATTTTTTTTATTCACCTGCTTTCAGCAACATTCCCTTTCTCCTGACCTTCTCAGCCTTCATGTGTTTGTGAGACAAAAAAAAAGTTCCATGAGACTTTCTAACTTCTTTTTTACCCACAAACAAGTGGTGAAGGCAGAGAAGCAAAAGGAGAAAATGAGTGCAGCTGAAAGCAGGTGAGTAAAAAAATGCTTGGGGGAGGCGAGAGCATTTGGGCGGGGATGCCAACCTTACCCTGCATGGTGGCGGGAGGGTTAACGGCGGGTGCGGGGGGGGCAGGAGGAGGCAAAACAGGCAGAAGGGAGGCCGGGCAGATTGTGGTCCTGCCCATTTCACTTGCTTGCAGAAACAAAATTCAGAAGACTAGGAAAGGCATCAAAAGCTGTTGATAGAAAAAGAAACAAGATCTATTTCGGAGGGCTTGCTAATAATTGACTTATAAATCGAGGAAACTCAAAGAGTAATTTTGGATGCAGGAAACTTAATGAAACAGTTGTAGTGGAACTGTAGTGGAGAAGTTAATTTAAAGCGGTATTAAAAATGACAAGCATCCCAAATTTGACAAAAATTGGTATAGGAAAGAGACAAGGAATCCAAACTATAACAATTGAACCAAGTCCAGCAGGGAAAAGATCTACGGAAGGACTTTTACAGAGAGAGAGAGATCAAACTCATTTAAGGATCTACAACATATGTTACAAACAATACAGGAAGTTATGTTAAAAAACCATGAGGATTTGAAACGAGAGATAGGAAAAGTAAGGAATGACACGGGAGAAATGAAAGAAAAGATGAGATCGATGGATGATAAATTTGAATGCTTTCAGCAACAAATTCTAAAAAATGAACAAAAACTACAGGAGATGGAAGATAGAATTGGAAGGGAAGAAAGGAAAGTGGAGGAGATGGAAGAAAGACTAATTCAGGCTAATAGAGACCTTGAACAGACAATAATCCAGTTGGAAATAGACAAGGCTTCCCATTTTCTATAATTTCAGAATGTGTGGGAAGGAAAGAATGAAGATCTTCCAGAGATGATGGCGGAGCTATTGGCAGGAGCTCTAGGAAATGGGAAGGAAGAAATCTATAAAAATCATCAGGAAATATTAAGCCCACTGCTATTAGAGGTGTACAATGATGTACTGAATAAAGCCAAGATACCTGAATCGTGGAAAGAAGCAACAATCACATTGATTCCCAAAGAAAATTTTGATTTGACTTATATTAAAAACTATAGACCGATATCCCTACTAAATTTGGATTATAAAATATTCATGACAATTATGGCAGATAGACTAAAGAAAATTTTAGAGAACTTCATTCATACTGACCAAAACGGCTTCCTTCCCGGACAGCATATAAGGAATAACATTAGGATTATTTTGGACACGATAGAATATTATGAAGCTCATAATGAAAAACAGATGGTGTTGATATTCATTGATGCGCAAAAAGCATTTGACAACATCAAATGGGACTTTATACTGGAACAATTAAAATATATGGATTTTGGGGGGAAATTTATAAAGATGTTCCAAGCAATTTATTCCAGACAAGAAGCTAGAGTGGTGATAAATGGGGAAACGACAAAGAACTTTTTAATTCAAAAAGGCACTAGACAAGGCTGTCCGCTATCTCCATTGCTTTTT